TACAGCTGGGGAGAGGACCTTTGGGCCTGATCTTCCCCTGTAGGTGGTCACACCCAACTCCATCCTTCCAGGCTCTGGGATGGTGGGGCTGTTTCTGAGGTACAGCTGGGGAGAGGACCTTTGGGCCTGATCTTCCCCTGTAGGTGGTCACACCCAACTCCATCCTTCCAGGCTCTGGGATGGTGGGGCTGTTTCTGAGGGCCATCTCCATACTGTAGAACTAGACATGGTGGGCAAGTTCATCATGAGAAGATGCTTGGCTGGGTAAAGGCTGCCAATCCTGTGCTCAGCTTGGGCCTCTGTCCTTTGGACTAGGCTGAAAAGCAGCCTCCCTGGATGCCAGTGTGAGAGGGACCCTGCAGAAGGTTCTCATGTCCTCGCCATTTCAGTAGCCTCTTGACTCCAGCGCACCAAACAAACACGCAGATCCATGGCCTTCAATCTTACAAAATAAAGGGTAAAATCCAAATATCTCCATGCTGGCTGCAAACACAAACATCCATCCTCACTCCAGTCATCAGATAAGTTTCATAAATTCTTTTCCCTTGTGATAGCCAGATAAAAACAAACCTTTAGAGGATGAGGCCAAGGACCGGCATTTGGAAAAGACCTGCGCACCCCAGCACGCTTGTGTATTGCAAGCAGAGGGTCGAAATGCTCAGGAGGGAAGAACTTCAAGTCACCCTGGCATCTGGCTCTTTCACTTTATACCTCTGTCTTCTACTTTCTATCCTGAATTCAGAGCCTCCTCCCCCGACAAAGCAGAAATTGTCTCTTGAGTTCTGTTTCCCAAGTGCAATGCTCGAGCTAATTAATCCAAATTGTCCCTGTTACTGCCCAGAGGCATCTTCAGAATAAAAAGCACCTCTGTTTCTTGAGATTCTAACATCTCGATTTACTCGGGGTCCCCTGAATGAACATCAGACACATATACATCCTTCCGGGTAACTCCCAAGGCAAGTTATGGCCCCAGTTAAGTTCACAAAATGAAGGGGCTCCAGGCAGACATCAGCCAAGCCATTGACATGCATGGTGAAGGAAATCAAGTCCCTCTCAGAGACCGCGTGCCTACTTACTACTTTGTGCCCCAGCCTTAGGATCACAACCGCCACCCCCCCACCAACCAGAGGTTCTAGTGTGGTGCTCAGACCATCATGAGTGTCTGAGATAGAGGTGAACGAAAAGGAAAGGAGCTTTTGCCCACACTGGTGTTCGAGAACTTCAAGACTGAGCTAGTGCTCACCTCCCTCTGTGACTAAGTCTCCTTTACCAATGCTCTCCCTGCAGCAGCAGTCACCTAGACCAATTGAGTAAAGAAGAAAATTAAACCAGGATGGGAGTTCCCTAAGGCCCTAGGTTAAGTCTGGGCTGCAGTCTGGGGATGCCCACATATCACATTCCCTGTCTGGATTGAAGGGAGAGCGCTGACATGCACACGGGGATCAAGGCACCGTAGCTGGGTCGGCAATAACCAGGGCGATTGATTGCTGTGAGCATCTGGTTGAGAGCCTCTTTGGAAACAGCCAGTTGTCTGCTTGTCCAAGGTTTGTAATAAGTCACACCACTCGAGTGAAAGGCTTCTAATGATTACATTCCCTTTCCTGGCAATGCAGCCATCCTAGCCTGGGCCACGGCTGGTTGGAGTGAGTACATTAAGAACAGCATCTTCGGGGGGCACCTGAGTGGCTCAGTTCGTTAAGTATCAGACTCTTGATTTTGGCTCAGGTCTGATCTCAGGGTCGTGAGATGGAGCCCTCCATCAGGCTCTGGGCAGGGCGTGGAGCAGCCTGCTTCAGATTCTCTCCTTCTGCCCCTGCCCACCCACCCTGCCATCTGTACACTCTCTTTAGGAAAAAAAAAAAATAGAATCTCATCTTTGGTTTTCATAGCAAAAGTAATGGCCAAAATGCAATGTCTAGAGCTCACAGGTTATGTGTCTTTAAAAATGTGTGGAACAAAATTGCTTGTTTTGAGGAGTTATGTTTGGTTGCCATGGAGAGAAAAAAGAAAGCTGATGCTCTCAGTTGAAGTAATTTTTTGGAAAATCTTGTTACTGCAACAAGACCATTTTCCGCATAAGGCATCTCCCAGGCTAGAGTTTACTATAGGACTATATTCCTAAGAGCTTTCTGTGTCTGGGACCTAGTGACGTTTAGGGTAGGAATGGTCCCATCGGCCTCTTTCTGTTGACTCAGCCTATTGTCAAGCAATCGGAATGCTGATAATATCCGATTTGAATGCATGTAAGTATGTATGCACCGTCCCAGTATAGCTCAGTTTAAAACCCAGTTGTCTGCACAAATGGTTGGTGTAGAATAAAGACCCAGTTGGCAGAAGAGCAACAGAATGACCAGGAATAATGTCCCTGGGAACAGAGCTGGATGCAAAGCTGTGGCTGACACCAGGACTTGCAAAAGGCAGAGTGATTGAGTCTGATAAAAAAAAATTCCTGATTTTTATGGTCAAGATGGCGGAGAAGTAGCAGGCTGAGACTACTTCAGGTAGCGGGAGATCAGCTAGATAGCTTATCTAAAGATTGCAGACACCTACAGATCCAACAGGAGATCGAAGAGAAGAACAGCAACTCTAGAAACAGAAAATCAACCACTTTCTGAAAGGTAGGACTGGTGGACAAGTGAATCCAAAGCGACGGGAAGATAGACCACGGGGGGAGGGGCCGGTTCCCGGCAAGCAGCGGAGCAGCGGAGCACAAAATCAGGACTTTTAAAAGTCAGTTCCGCTGAGGGACATCGCTCCAGAGGCTTAACCGGGGTGAAGCCCACGCGGGGTCAGCGTGGCCTCAGGTCCCACAGGGTCACAGAAGGATCGGGGGCGTCTGTCGCAGAGCTTACAGGTAGTAGAACGGGGAAGCCGGCTACAGAGAAGAGCCGAGGAGTAAGCTCTAAGCTCGGGGTTACCTTGAACCGGTCACAGGCTCGGTCAGCTAGGAGCGCGGCCGGAGGCCAGGGTGACGGGAGTAATTGTGCGCTATTCTCTGAGGGCGCACTGAGGAGTGGGACCCCGGGCTCTCGGCTCCTCCGGGCTGGAGACCGGGAGGCCGCCATCTTCATTCCCGCCCTGCGGAACTCTACGGAAAGCGCTCAGGGAACAAAAGCTCCCTAAAGCAAACCGGAGCAGATTACTCAGAACGCCCCGGGTAAGGGCGGTGCAACTCCGCCTGGGGCAAAGACACTTGAGAATCACTACAACAGACCCCTCCCCCAGAAGATCAATAAGAAACCCAGCCAGGACCAAGTTCA